TTCCGTGTCTCTATGTTCACGCCCCAAACGACCGCGCTGCAGCTACGCGATTTCATCCAACCATGAGACCTCCACCCGCGCATGAGAAAACCTTCGCTAATCTGCGTGATCGTGTGACTCGCAGCTTTTTCCCATCCGCAGGCTGCGAGCACCAGGAGAACCGTTGAGGTCGGTCGTCGCTGGATAACTTCATCCGTCCGCCCACGAGAGTCGATCGACGCGGCTCTATGTATCTTGGTTTCCTTCGGAGTAGCGAGTGGAACCTCCCAACGGTGACTCGGCGTCCGTCTACCGTGAAACGCGTCGCCTACCAATCCCAGCCTCGACCCCAGCCTCGGAGCAGCTATTAATTTGTATCGATAGAGGCGGGACAGAGAGAGGTGGAACGTGCATGCACATTCGTACGTTCGTTAGTTAATCCGACGTGGCGAGCAGAACGAGCTCGAGGGAAGTGGAGTCGCTCGTCTATGCGAGTAACGCGCGCACAGAGACGAGCGCACCACCACGCGCTCACGCGTGACCGCGATACCCGAGGCGTATAAGTATCGTTGCCGGTCGGGCAACGCTTGTGCCCAGGCTAAGGAAACCTTCCCACACGATTCCACGGCCGGGCGTGTACGTATACCTACGCCGAGCCGATGGAACGTGTGAGTGACACGTAGGAGGATGCTCTCTCGGCGGGTAATGATCACGATTGAATGAGAATGAGGCCGAGAGAACCAATACAATTAACCCCGTAGCAACATGCCATTGCTACAATGCCAAACGCGTTCACCGGTGCACAGCCGCGCGTTGCCTCGTTCCTTGCTTCCACCAGGCTTTGGCTGCAGATAGCGAGCTGGGCTCGCTCGCCAGGCCGCAACAAAGACTTCCTCCCTCCGACCGACTGGCTGCCCCCCTCCTACGGCTAGCGCAATTATTACGGCATCGCGTTCATAGATTATAGGTAAATGTGCCACGCGTTGCATCGTCCTTCGTGTCCAAGTTTCGCTCCAGTTTGCGCCAGGCGACTGGTTTACTCAGCTTCTCTTACTTTCAACGTGAAACGTCCTACCAACGTCAGACGACGGAGAAGCGATTTTCAAACGTAAAAAACATCATCGCCGAGAATTCTCTGAATTTAAAAAACTGTATTGTTAATTGTATTTACTCAAGTCTCAACTGCCGAAGCAGAGTTTCAGATTTTCTTCAGAGTAAAAGTTGTAGTGCTTCGTTGCAATCGGGACTCCAGAGTCGGACGCTGGTGCAATCGGTTCGGTGAACGGTAGATGGAACTGGTTCGAAGGAAGCACGTGCCTTTGGCTCATTTCGCGGACGCAATTATTGCGGGATCGAGGAGCTGCAGGTTGATGCGCACATGTGCACGTAGCCGAGAAACGTTCTTCGGAGAAGAGCGCCGATGAATGGGATAGACTTGCGCGGCTCGTGCCCGATGAATCGCGCCGCGGCAGTCTCCTCTCGTTTCACCTCAACTTGCTCTTTCCTCTATCGCGATCCTGACGACTTTATTATTGCCGATGTAGCCGCGATAGAGAAAGAGACAGGCGATTCTCCGCGATCGAGGGGCTTACTCGCGCTTTGTTGCTTCTATTACCGTTAGGATCGTATCGCACCCGGTGCAACCGGGGGTCGCCCGATGCGATCGGATTCCGAAGCCAGATTTCGCGTCGATGGTATTGAAAATTAACCGCGCTCGACGCTTCCGCCACTTCTACTTGCTATCGAGCCGAGATTTCACCGGCAACGTTTCCCTTACAATGTACATATACTATCGTCTTCAAGTCGCGGGACAACGCTTGCAACTTAAACGCATAAACGAATGTCGCGACTTTTTCGTGGATTTATGGGAAATTTGAAAACACAGAAAGTAGAGCGCAACTCCTTGCACTCAATCGATGATCGAAACAAACTTTAGCTTGCAATCTCATTCCTCCAGTCGATTTTACGAATCAATGCGAAATACGAAAAATTTACAATTGATATTAAAATAACTTTTGAGGACTCTGTCGCAGTTCTATTTATCACAGTTCGTAAAAAATTATCGTTCGTTTAAAATTGTCAATCACAACTCGTGAACGGAAAATCTACGTTCAACGTATTCCACCGCGGTTAATTAACTTGGACGAAAGTCCCTACGGGAACGATCGTCCGCGATGGTGAGTTCGGCCGATTCGCTGAACCAAGTGCATTAAACTCGTACGCGACGGACGCCGATTTAGATTACGGCGGGCATAAAAAATACGAGGCGAAACGTACGCGTGTAATCCGGTGCCGGTTCGAACGCATTCGACGTATTGGCCGATTGGTTATGAGTAATCCGGTTTTCACGGCGCTTCTGAAGTACCTGGCAGATTGGCGATACCTTCGGCTTCTCGAGGATGACGTTTCCTCCCACGTGCCTGGTGATCCGCCAATCCTATCGAGGCATCTTCAATCTGTTATCCGTGTACATATCGTAGGGGGATATCGTATTTGGGATATCGCGCGCGACCGAGCTGCACTCCAGCTCGTGGGGAATAATCTGTTCGAATTATAATTTCGTACGGTACGGGCACGCACGAAAAGAAAAAAGCTCGAGCGCCACTCGGTAGATCCGGCTTTCAACTCGCTCTCTCGTTACGGCCAGCGTTTAAAAATATACCCACCATCGGTTGAAATTGATCGATTAGTATTCCGATCGGGTACTATCTGCAACCGTATCGTTCAAGACGATGGCTGGCCGGCTTTTTTCTACCGGGTGAAATTGCGGTTCGCTCGGACGCGAAACGCGCATCAACAGTTGGAAGGTGATACGATTGGAAATCTTTTGCTAGCCGATGCAGTTGATATACCGTAACGTCGTGTAACATATTTACATGTCCGTATTTTACGTATACTTAATACGTTGGCTCATTATTGCACCTTCTTCAGTACACCGTTACAAAAATATTAAAGGACTTACAATTAGTTACAAGTAGACTGCAAGTTTTTTCTTTTTTTTTTTGTTTTATACACTTGCAGGAAATTTTCAAAAACAGAATTACACAGAATGCACGTTGTATAGAAAAATATATAAAATACACACAATATAGTGCCTTTTATAGCACTTAGCAAGTGAAACAATTTTCTACACAACTTCGTCTTTTAACACTTCCACATGGCTGTCATGTACGTACTAGCCCTTGATTGTCTAAAAATATTAATGTAAATAAATAAATAGAAATATCTATTAACACTAGAACAACCGTATCAGAATGTTCTACATACCAATCATAATTTAAACGATTTATTAAAATAAATAGATTTATACAGTTGTCTCTGTCCAAACAGAAATTAATATTAATTTTATACTCGCTTCTTTTAAGCAGTTGTAGAAAACAAATGTCTGAAATCCGTCAGATTGATGTCACATTTCGATTGTTATAGCGTCAAAATAACAAAATTGTATTGCTATTTATAAAATCTCCGTAATGACAGTCCTAATGGTTAAAGTAAATGGCACAAGTGATACATGCAACAGGGGGAAAGTGTTAAAATTACACTCTTAAAAATATTTATTTACATAAAAATCCGCAGTCCACTTATAACAACTATTAATTCCCAGATTTCCAGTTGCATTAAATAACTCCCTAATAAATGAAATCCCTTCCGCTTATAGAGGATTGAAGTTAATTATGAATAATATACCGCGTAGGGTAGATATCGTTGAAACTTAGGATGGAGGATGTGGAGTAATCGCAATAAAGATCGACCGCGTATTATTGACAAGCGTCGACGATAATTTCATATCAGCCGTGTGAATGATTTAATTAGAAATTGTAACGAGAACGTACGAGAAGCTTGAGTATAAAAATAACTCGTAGAGTCGAGTGAAGTTTGCAATCTCACGGAGAAACTCCGGTTACGCAACATTCGCAACCGAGCCTGACTCTCGTTATTAACGAATAATCACCTCGATCGAATTTTAATCTTTCCTGTGGCTTTCTTTGCAGGTGTAATTCGCAGCACCTCGTTACTTAACTAATTCCTATAATTATCTTAACTCACAAATCATTCCCCGTATCACGTACTTAGTTCTAATTTGTAGTTCTCTCGCCTGATAATTACTCGTGGTTTCACACTGAATTGTGGCGTCAATGATTTCTACATGTAAATCCAAGTAAACGAATTGCGAATATTAATATATAACTATTCGCGTGATTAAAAAAATAAAATGTTGGTAGAAACTTGTTTTCATGTTCCATATAAATGTTTAGTTGCAACCTCAAAATACAGTCAATTGTGGTTAAACGAAAGTATTTATTGTACTTGGACGTAATTAATCGTACGTAAATAATGTAATAAGTACAATGGTGTGCAAACGTTTATTGTAACCAGACTCGCGAAAATATTTCAACACTTGTGGAAATTTAATCTGCAATTTCGTATGATACACCGCAAATTACATTACATTTATTACAAACATATACTTCAGAGAAAATACAAAATTATTTCAACGTTTCATTATTATATCAAAACGTTAATCAACGTTATACCAAATTGTTATTAATTACATGTGTATTTAAAACAATCGTCCGTATCGCACACTAATTTTTCATTAAACGAACGTTTGCAATAAACGCCAATTTTCATCGTTTGATCTCGAAATTGTATTCTTTTCCACTACCTGTTTCAATAAAATTGCACGATGTTTTATACTCGGAATTTTCTATAACGTACGTTCAAATACTTTCATGAGCCACTCTAGATGAACATGCTAACACTAGAACTATCACCTCAAAGTGGTCAAAATCTCGACCAATTTATAATTTTCTATAGAAATTTTACATTTCTAGATGCTCGAGTAATTTTGAATAAAAATACATCAATAGAAGCTTGTGTTTTTCGTTATTTGTTATTATCTTTTCCTTGTACTTTAATTTTCTTGCTGCAAATATTCTACTTTGGTCGTCGGTAGTTCCAGTGTTAATCACAGCAGGATCGAACAGGAGAAGGATTGCTTCTAAATATCATGTACTTACCGCGTCGTCTTCTAGCCAATCAACAATCCATCCAGATCCACCCGGTATGCAAGGCTGCCGGTGAGTATATTCACGAAGCGCTCTCCCTTCCTGCACGATGCTGGTTTTCGCGTCTCAAGGTAGCCCGGTGTCGACTTCCAAGGACCCTCGTCTGTCGTGACGCGTTAGTTCTTGCCTCGTCGATGCGAAGATGCGTGCAACGGCGTTCCTCCGGGTTCTCCCTCCGGTTGAAAGACGAGGCGGCTGGTTCTGCTTCTTGCGGAAACTGCCGGCGCGGCTGCAATTAGCGCGAGAGTTCCCGATAAATAATTGAAATTCAATACGGGGAGCCGTGGTGCACGGCTCGCCAGACGTCTCGGTGAGCGTGTATCGGAATTTCCACGCTCGGCCGCGCGGCTCGAACGTGCACGGAAAACATCCCGCGGCTTCGTCTCTCGTAATTAATAACATAACACGACGACGAACAACAGGGCGGCCCGCCTCCCTTTTAACGAAAGTTCTCGCGGCGGCATCGAATTTCGCGATGCCAACCGAACTCGCCTCGCCGCGCCTCGGCTCGGTTCCGCTGCTAGCGGGAAAATTTTTCCATTTCCCCGACGAAGCTATCGATCGCCTGATACTACTTTCTCCACGCGTTCCAACGATGCTTCCTTCGATCGTCCAACTTTGTTTCGTCGTTGTTCGCGAAGCCTGCATCGGCGGAATTTTCGATCCTGCTCGCGTAATTAGCAGTTAACAGAGTTACCTCTATTTTTCCATGGTCCTCTCAAGTTCTTTCGTAGCAAACTTGGCGTTGAGCGTTGTTCGACTATTTCATACTATCGTTGTAAATTTTGTATTCCATATCTAGTTTTGTGGTAGTTTAAAATTATCGACGAAAGACTCGCGAAATGGAATGTTTGAATTCGTGTCGACAATATTCTATTCTGCTGAATGTTTCGTTCAGTTTTCGTCGAATCTGCCGTCACAAATGTTACAAAGTTATAACGAAATTATTGACGAGAAAAGAAAGTGTTGATCGACACGTGAAATTTTCTGGGATACCGTGCGATCGTATTTTAATTCGACTAATTGAATGGACCTGCATCTCTGTTGCCTTTCATTCAAATTTCTGTTTACGCCGCTCCATTGTAAATTTGATGTTGTACGTTATAAAATTATTATAAGTACACGGTATGTAAATTACTGATGAAAAAGGCCTTGATTGGCACCGGCCATTTCCTGGAGTATCGTGTTTACGCTTTAATTGGGACCTGATCGACGTATCTCTGGTTTTATTTAAATTTCTATCCACGCCTCTCGACTGTAGATCGAATTATTAATGAAAAATGCCTACATTTTACAAGCGTCGGTCATATTTCAGTTCCGAAGCGTAAAGTTGACCGAAGGAACGACGTATAAATACAAGAGTTTAATTAGTCATAGCACGGGGAAAAATTCATTTATAACTGGCAATTGCTTCGAAACAATCACTAAGAGGTAATTGCAGCGGAACGACTATCGAGCAGCTCCTTTGTCCTCAATTAAATCGCTCGAGGCCGGTAAGACTCAGACCAGAAGAGCAATTCGCTTTAGATACGTCACGCGAATGCACTCTGCCGACACAGGAAACAATTCAAATACCACTGCCCTTTAATCGTACAATCACAATTATCCATCTCAGAAATTAGTCTCCTTCGTTAAACAAATACCACAACGTAGCCCGTGTTGTACGAAATATCACGATTCACGATCACTGCGATGAAACGCGGCCGTCACGATTGTGTAGGTAATATTTGAAATTAAAATATTAGTCGTATATATTAGTATAATTGTATATTGAGCGTTAAATTCTATCTCACCGAATACAGAGATTTGTTATTACATATTTCAATATTCTTGTATCTTCTGTGCACATTTTCCAATTTCCTTCAAACTTTGTCAAACACGTGTTGATAAAAATCACGTAATATAAATAGTCAAATAGAATTACTTGAATCGAATCATCTAAACTTCAAACTCCAATACTCGAAATAACCAAACTTGTATCATATTATAAACCACCACTAATCTTCGAGCAAAAGAATGAGTGTATTTTAGATTCAACAAAAAAAAAAAAAAAATTCTTTTCATATCCAAAATGAGAAAATGGCAGACAACTATTATCATATTATTCATAAAGGATTCTCTCATAGAAGTGTCCAAATACGACAGGTTCAGGTTAAAATTGAATTCCGAAAGGCAGGTCGACGTTCACGATTCAGATACAACCCCACGACCTCCGTATGAAACAAACAGTGGATTCAGACGAGCACACGTCCGCGTTACTTTGTCTCGAGGTTGATGTTTACGATGCCTGGGAAGCGTCGCGACGCGGTGCATCGCGCTGTCAGACTCGGCTCGTCCATCCGCGAAGTTTCGAGACAGCACCGCGGACGAACTTTACATGAATGATTCACGATTGCTCGCGGTCGATTCCAAAAGGGAAGGAAAGCGCTAATTGAGGTTCTCGCCGTTTTCATACTGCCTCGCCGCGCCGCGCCGCGCCGCGTTGCCCGCTAATTACGCTTAAGCGAATTCCGGCAGCGTCTCGTTCCATCGGACGCTTCGTTATGTTCGCGGGGACTGACGCGGCGGGTCGCGGTTCGTTGGCTTTTATGCGAGTTTAAAGTCGTGTTTTATACCGGGCTGAAAATCAAAGGGACCAGGTCGCCTTCTGCGTTGAATTTTCGGCAACGGGCTGAGAATTAAGCAGCCGGACGAACGTTGCTAAATGAAAGTCGCACATCGTAAACGCTGGCCCGCGCTAATGACGAGTATCCTCTTGCCACGCTCGTGCTCGTGCTTTCGTGACTGCACACGAACCCACGTATTAGCGGCCGTGAAGCCTTGATGGCACGACCGACTCGCCTCTTTTCGGCCCTTTCCGCCCGGTTGATAACGACACAAGATAACAGAGAAGCGGAGAACGGACATTTTTTTATACTTGAGGCGATACGTTCATGGCCGCGGATCATTTTTATTGCGGCAGTCGAGCGCACGGGAGCCAAGTGGTTCCGTTTGGTTTCATAAAATTTGTGTTCGAGTTAACGAAACTTTAACGAAACGAGGATTTTGTCGGTAACACGGCTTAAAAACGCGGGCAAGAGGCATTAAGATAAGAGTGTGAGTTTTCGGCGATCTATAAACTATACGACGCTACTGGTCGTCAAAATATTAATAATCCCTCGTATATTACTTTTGGTGACAGTATTTATAAGCACTTTTCGTCTCGACCGAAGTTGAATGGTAGTAATATTCGTTCTTTATCCATCGCAACTGTACTTCGTCTCGAACGAAGTTCACCTTGAACGTCCAAGAATTTTCTATCTAAGAACCTCGCGTTGCTTTGAATCATCGTTCAATTTACTTCGCGATCGTAATTTCCATGGCTGCAGCTGCCGCGTCCGCGGACGTGACGTGTATCCATTTCCTTAGAAAGGGAAACGCAGTTGCAACCTAGGCGGTACGGATAAATAATAGGCAAGGCTCGTCTGAACTTCGTTCTCCCAGCGCGAGAGAAGTTCCCCGACGAAAGTTACGAAAGAAGTTGCAAGTAACAAGCATCCGGCAGTTCGAGCAGGCCGATGATCGCGGTTTCATTTAACTTCATCCTCAGCCCCGTTGCTTCGGCTATCTCGCGTGACCGCTTATTTTCACGACGCCGTGGCAGGGATCCGCAACGCTGACAGTTCCGTGTTTCGCCGCGGCCGCGGAGGAAATAGGAATCAACTCGGTTGTCAGGATTCGCGAAAGGGAAGTGGGAAGGGAAAGATTCGCGGAACGGACGGAGAGATACCGACTACGAACGCCCCGTGGGTTCACAGTGTGAATAGCAATTTTATTAGAATAGAAGAATGTTGCGCTGGAAGCGGGAATCACGCGGCTAAGCGCGTACACATCGCAACTTCGTCAAACGAACGAGTACGGGAAGCGTGCGCCCGCTCTGTGAGCAACAACTTAATTAAAGTTGTTCGAATAAAAGTCATCGCCGCGAAGTCGTAACCCCATGTACGTGAGCGTACTTCAGTTTTTGTAATTTACGTTCAACTCGAGCCTTGGATCGAGGTTGAGACGTTGAAAGTTGTGTACGTAGCTGTAAGCTCAGGAATTTTTCATTAGGGGCGTGGTCCGTGGACACGTGTAACTGATACAATTTGTTTTGAAATATGTTTTGCAGTACAGTGGAACTTTTGTTATACAAAAACAAACCTTCGCTATGTTACGTTCTGCTGCGTATTTTCTGGAATACACGCGTTTCTTAGAGTATATTGTAACAAAAGTGTTTAGATATTTTGTGTAGAACAAAACCAATGTAACGCTTCGTGTTGAAATTGACCTGGGGTAAAGTTATTTGTACTTAGCAGCAAATTAATACAAAAATGTGCAATTGCAAAATCATAAATATTTAAAAAAATCGGAAACGTGCTATTGAAAACTATTTAGAGCAACTGCGAACAGATTTCAACAAGTCGAAAGACTTTAATGGCGAAAAACAGTTTGAGCGAACACTGTCTTTTTGCTTGTGTTATCTATGTACAAAGATATCTCTTATCTGCACACTTTTGTCTCTCAATTAGTTCATATAATGGAGGTTTTACTATAATTAAAAGCATTCGTGAACTGTGGTTATATAATACTTTATACTGTGGAGAACAAAAGAAAGTTTAACATTGGTATTTGTCTATATGACACATACTAATATTATTAATATTCAAATGTAATTTCACTTTGCAAAATTATGCTTCATCTCCTGCACTGTATATTGTGCTGTAGGAATACTTTCAAATTGATTCAAAGTATTACAAATTGTACCAAATTACGGTATAATTATTCATTTAATTTCTCTACTTCGGTCCATAAAAGTACAAAAATACAGAAATATTCACAGTGAAATTTCACGAAGCACATAACATACTATGCGTTTAAATACTCACATGAGCCACTGCGTGCGTTCAGACAACAGCTATTTATCGAGTCCGGCGGTTGGCAGCAAAAAACGAAGAGATGGAGGGAACACAGACATACGCGGTTTAATAGACAGTCGCGACGCTGTTTAATAAGATATTTAGAAGTCGCGAGGAGTCTCTTAATCTATCGTTGTTACGCTCGCGACGTTGACCGAGACGCGGCATGCGTTCGGCACGAGGGACGCTCGCCTAATGGGACACGTCCTAACTCGAAATAAAAGCCGACTCGATTTGTATATCTTCCGCCCTTGGCGCAGTGTTTACGCCGCACGTTCGAGGACAGAATTTT